CTTCCTGAACCCATGCTGACTGGGCCTGAAGTGGGGACGTGTAAGAAGTGATGGAGTTTGCTCTGAATTAACTAGTGTAGTACTTATAGGAACCTGCTACACAGTCTTTCATTCACTAATTAACCCACATTAAGCTCTGTTTTCATTTAATTGAAAGTGAGTCACTCATTGCAGAAATGGTCTTCAAAGGATTGAGATGGATACTGAAGTAGCAGGAGTAAGTAGTACACTGAAGGAGGGAGAGGGACTGAGAGGCAATTCAGAGACCTTTGATGAGTTTAGTCTAGGCAAAGAGTTTATAAGTTTTCATTGTAATAGAAGAATCCTGCGATTCTCAGTTCTCTGGGAACTGTGTTAGGCTAAGTTGGGCAGTTAAAACACTTGGAAAATTAATTAACAAATAAGATTAACAGTTGTGCCTGTTTTTTTGTTCTGTAATGATGACTTTCTAAATGACATTTGTAGAAAGAGGCAGCGTGTTTCCAGCTCTATTGGTCTAATAATAGGACCTTGCAGTTTGCTGTGTTCTAAACCTGTCTGGGCCCAAAAGCTCATCTGTCTTTCGAAGTATGTTAGTACCATCCTCTGTCAACCTTGCCTTGTGCATATTCTTAGATTATTGTGGCTACAGCAGTGCTGCAGCATAAATTGGTAACAGATCCAAGTCTCAAGTACACGTTAAACTATCTAGATGTAATTTATTCCTCCTCCTAGCCCACTTTTGCAGGGTACATAGTTCAGAGTGCACTGGAATAATAAAAGAGGTATGAGTTACTGCCCTTGAAGAAGGGAGGTAGGGAAAAGAACAGGCACTTTGTACCCAGGCAGACTGTCCCCTTCTTTCCAGTTTGTGATGTACTGGAGGACTCAAGCACCGGAGTCTTGGCTCTCCTCCACATTGTGAGGATTATTTGAAGTCTGAACCAAGGTGCATAGTGCCTATTTCTAAATGGTCTTCAGACTTTTCAAAGCCTGACTAGATATGAACACCCAGTAAGGGGAAATTGTCCTTGTATTATTTTTTACGGCACCAAAGCTACTGTCTGCATTACTTGAGGGCATCTCTTGCTTTTCAGTTGTCTTGTCTGAAGAAGGGCCCCTGTACTATTGCACATTCCAGTACTGCACCAAGTGATGAGACTGGCAGTCTTCATCGCTTTCTGCTGAAAATGGTTGTATCTTGTGTTGGCATGTCAGGCTATCCCATTTTGTCTTCTGTTTAGTTTATTGTAACTAGATCTGAATTGGCTGCAAGTAAAGGCTTCTGCAGATCCAGAGTAAAACAGATCTAGCTGCTATGCTGGATGAGTTACATAATTAGGTAATTGTTTTGTAAACAAAGGCCACAGACACTTTGTGCCTAGGACACAACCCAGGCAGATTAAATTTCATGCTGGCTATACCAATGATTCAGGTGAACTACAGCATGCTACTGCCTATCATGTAGGAGCCTGGTGTGATATCCAGAACTATGATGTGTAGATGGCATTTTAGTGAGCCAGTGGGCTCAGTGTCTGGTGTTAAGGGTTAGTCAGTTCCATGGGAAAATACTAGTGTCTGAGCACTCCCATAAATAGTTTACAACATCTATAAACATCCTCTTGTAACTCTAGTAAATATAAAAATACATATCTGGCAAGCGTGTCCCACTGCATACTGCTCTCAAATACCAAAGGTGTTTCTCTTCGTAGTGAAGTTATAAGTTAATCACTGAGGAAGTAACTTTCTTGACAGAAAAAGGAAATCTTAGGAAATCTAAGGGCTGATGTCTTAATGAACTTGTATCCTTTACATTTCTTCTTTTGAAGACATTTATCTAATGGCCTCTCCTGATTTTAGTTTTTGGATCCTGGTATTTCAAATACTTAGTAGTAAAATTGTTCAGAGGGTGTAGGGATAGACGTGTGCTTAATGTCCTGTCGCCATCTGTGGTGCTACAGATTGATTGAATTAATCTGATACATATTTGCATGATCAGGTCCTAACTGATCATCTGTTTCTGAATTTCATCAGACATACTGTCCTGTGTGCAACTTTTACTGTTCTGCACCATCCTGATCAAAACTTTTTTTTTTTGCAGGCTTGTGGGCTTTTTTTTGCTTGCTGGAGGTCAGAGATAGTGTAATGCAACTTTTCTTACTTTCGCAGAAGTTGGAATCCTTGCCAAGTCCTACATTGACCAAGGGCAGCTTATTCCAGATGACATCATGACGCGACTAATGCTGAATGAACTGAAAGGTTTGGATCGTTACAACTGGCTATTAGATGGTAAGTTGGCATATTGGATGTCACTGTATATAGAGAGGAAATCTGCACTGGAAAGCTTGGAGTGTTTTGGTCACTTGTGGGTGGCTACACTCCAGTAACCATCTTCAAGTTGTAGTAACCAGACAGTATTTATGGCCACCTTGTTGTGAAACCTTCAGCAGCTAGTCTGGCCTAGTTTCTTTGGCTGTGAAATGCTTTGGGTGCATCCTGCCTTAAGAGCATTACAGGGATGTTTAATAAATGTTGAAAAGCATAGTTCAACATTCCAGTAAAATTTCAAAACTAGCAATTCTGGTAATTCTGTTGCTTTATTTCCTCTTTAAAATATGCATTGAGAAGTTTCTTTTTTAAAAGCCTTTTCTTGTTAAAGTCCTTGGGGAGTGGAACACTTTTTTGAAGAATGAGGCTGAGGAATTATTTAATTAGAAAGGTAGGTATGTGATGCAGCAACAAGTATGGAAAGCAAGTACTGCAGCAGTGCAGTGTGTAATAAATCACTAACTAAAACACTGTTTAAGTGCTGTAAAAGATCTCTGTCGTTCACTCATTGCTTCTGTTCTCTAGAGTGAATTGTTCTGCAGCATAAGCTCATTTCCTCAGCAGTCACTGTAGAGGGAAAACGCATTTGCCACTGTCTTCATTAACTGAATGGCTCTTGTTACGCCAGCCCATAGGAGTACAGTTGGATGCACACCACAAGATAGTGTCCAGGCTGGATGTATGTGGTTTTGGATTCTAGTCACAACCTGTCTCAGGAGATAAAACTCAAAAGTTTTTGGTGTGTCTTATTTGGAGAAAGTGAAAAACCCATAGTGCTTCCTGTCCCTTAGTACTTCATTGTAATTGCTCCTACTACAGTGATCTGTTCTGGTGGCTTTAGTCACAGTTATGCTCCTCCTTAGTGAATACAAAGGTTTAATTTCCAGTGAACAGCACAATGAAACCTAACCAATAAAGGAAAGAGTTGCAGATGTTTTTTCCTTTAGTTCCAGGACCTTTGTACACAAAATCCAGCCTTGTGGATCTGGATGTGTAACAATATAGCTGGGCACACTGGCAACTCTTAACAGGAGGATGGTGTGGAGAAAGTAGGAGAGTAGATAAATTTCTGCTCTATGTTAAGGTGCTGCCTTCTTTAAGCCTTTGGAGCAGAAATATTGTCTGCGTTAGCATTTGTAATTAGACTCGGTGACTTACACTAGGTATAGCTCTGGCATAACTGGCTCTGTAGGAACAAGTGTTCTGTTGAAATACGTTAACAAGAAAGTCTTCAGTTTGGTAACTGCAACTCAGAACAAACAGCTGAGGTAAGCTAGGCCAAACTCAATAGAGTTGCTGAGCTGCTTTATGCTTACTTAGCCAAATACCCATTTGCACTGCCTTACAGTAGGTTGGTGGCTTCTAGAGTCACAGCAGATGTAGCAGTCTGAGTTGTGCGTGGGTATGGTTTGCTTAGATTTATGTACTGTACAATTAGGGCACTTTTCTTTGTGTTCCTGGATTCTTCATATTTCATCACATCTTGCAGATTAATTTTTCTGTATTAACACTGTATGCAGCAAACGCTGGTTCAGTTTCAATGAAATGCTTTTGTAAAGGCGCTTAAGTTTCTTGAGGAAGTTTCTTATTACTAAGTCCCAAAGCAAACTCATCTTCCAGCTTTATAACTAAGATGTGTGGTGGCTGACAAGCCTATCAATAGTAAGAAAGAACAGCAGCACTGGAGTCCTGGCTCTCCCTCTGCTCTTAATGTTTAGAAGCACTTTTATGGGATAAAGTGAATGTGAGAGAAATAGGATGAGGGCAGTTGATGACTTTGATGCAAACCAGGTCCTTCAGACTTAACGGTCTGAGTTAATCAGCTCTTTCCTTTCGTGATGTGTTGGACAAGACACAGTAGCCTTAAGACTGTATTTTATATTTTTTTTCCTGTTGTAAGGCTAGTTCCTAGCTGGTTCCTTACTCAGGCCATTGCTCATCAACCAATGTTATGCAAAGAAGAGTTTCTTCAGTTCGTACCTATCAGTACTTGCCTTTATGGAGACGTTTACTTGTAAAGTATGATGAAAAATACAAGCTACTGAAAAACGTAAGACTCTGCAAGAGCTTTGTGGGTAGAGGTATTATTTCAGCGAATTTGTGGTGCAGTAGCATGTTCTGCAGTAGCTTTGACCAATTAAGTTCTTGTGGTCAATGTTTCATTTTAATTTATTTTGTGGAGACCTTGTTTTTTCTTGTTCTCTGTTCCTGTCCCTCCCCTTCACTAGCTCCACTAGAATTTCATAGTAGTAACATGTGCTACCACAGCCATAGAGTTCATGCGGCAAAATGCAGTTTCTTGTAAGTGCCAAGACAGATTCCTGTTTGGCCTGAGTGTTCTCACAGTCATCATCCCTGAGGATAGTTTGATACACTAGACTTCCCAGAACTCTCTCTAAAGCTACTCTTTTATGTAAAATTAGTCCTAGGCGGCCTCTGGTAGATTTATTTGGCTCACTGCAGCTCAATAAAATAGGTTTGTAATGTTTACCTCCTTAGGCTAGACACACAACTGTGCAAGTAGGTGTTCTCACAAATGTTTATAGGTTGTTCCAGACCTCTGAGTGAACTTCCTGTACCTTTTGTTGTTCAAAATGTGTATACAATGCTTTTATTCCATGTAGCGGTATGTAGTACATATGAGTATGGGGTCTTTTTGCATTTACTTGTTAGCCTTTTGGGAAGATGATTCACTGAAACGAAGAAATAGAAGCTGTGAGACATTTAACAAGTTAAAGTGCCATGGCACACTGAAAAATACATGGAAAATCTGATGTCTCTTCAACCTTTGCAGTATGACAATGCTTGGTTTTATTTCTGCCTGACAATTATTTTCTGTCATGACTGACTCCAGGTAATTCTTGCTATAACTCTGCCTTTGGATTTTTATGGAGTTGTTTCTTTTAAAAAGGATTCCCCAGAACAGTGGCTCAGGCAGAAGCCCTGGATAAAGAATGTCAAATAGACACTGTGATTGACCTAGATGTGCCATTTGAGACCATAAAATGTCGTCTCACAGCACGCTGGATCCACCCTGCTAGTGGCAGAGTCTACAATCTTGAATTCAGTCCTCCCAAGGTGCAGGTAAGCAATACACATTGGTGCAAAATAAATGTTGCATTGCATCTGGTAATTGCAGTAAAATATTGTTTGCCTATGTTGTTTCAAAACACAGTATTGTAGAAGAAAAAGGCTCACTTCTTCTCTTAGGAGCACAGAACCTTTCTAGTAACACTGTGCCTCTGAGAGTATGTTAGAGACCTGGTAGAAGTTCAAGATTATGGACAATGTGTTTGTCCCCTGCAGAATGAAACTCCATGCTGCTTTGTCAGCTCTTGTTAAAGCTCTTCACTGATCTGGAGTGCTCTGTGTTACGCACTGGCACAAGGGTCAGGCATGTTCTTAGCCTGTTCTGCAAGTTTGCAGCCTGTGCAGTCCAAAATGTAGTTTCCTTTTCCTTCTTTCAGAGTACTCATTCTTTCTATCTAGGAAGCACACCAAATCATTGGAGGAATCCACTTAATGCTTTCCCTGTGTTTATATTTACCAGGACATGTATTTCAAGGGAACAGTTGTCATATTGCAAAACTAGATGATAGGGAACCTGTCAGGGTAGCTTCTTTACAAAAAAGAAAAAAGGTTGTGGCTTAAGATACCCTAAAGAAGAACAGTAAACTTGAAGACAATGATACAGGTACATAGTTACCTTAAGATTTTGTAGGAACTCAGATTATCCTCAGTGCAACTCAGCTTAAGCTGCATTTCATCCTTAACTCTAAATAAATTACCTGTTGTGGCATCACATTTTCCCTGCAAGCTCTATTAAGTTACATCAGGAACATAGCAGGCCTTGTAGTTTTAGGATTTCAGTGTTGCAGGAAAACAGCCTCACTGAAATAGCAGGTAACACTGGAAGTGAGCAATTGGAAACGCTGCCTTTGTATTGTTTAAAACATATCGGTTTAAGTCATGGCTATTTTTCATTGCAGAATAGCATAGGCAAGCTGCAACAGAGAATTATCAAGAGCCACCAATGAGTGGGCTTCGGCTACAACAGCTTTGCTATTAGGAACACTCCACTCTGCCTTCCATAGTAGGCATATCACAACACAGGGAAGTAGATTGCAGTATTTAAGTGAAACCATGGAGCTGAACAGCTGAAATACAGCTGTTACCTAACAGACCTGCAAAATGTTTACTTACTCAAGAGAACAAAAAGATTACAGCTTTAGAGTTAATGCGAGGCTGAAGGCTCAATATTTGATTGGTATAATGAAGGCACTAGTGTGGCTGTCTGCACAGACACTAAAAAGAAACACTTCAGTGTTTTAAATTATTGTATTACATAAAGAAGGTAAGTTGGATGATATAAATCCATCTCTGATGAGATACAGATGTTCTGGAACAGATGTTTTTCACACCTTCATGAACAGAGCAGCTTACCAAACATTAATGGTTACTGATTTTCTGAAACTGACTGCCAGAATGCAAGCAGGAAAGGAAAACTTTTATGGTCTAATTGGTTTTGTACTTGCAAGATCACTCATGTTTCCACTTCAAATGTCAGATTAAATTCGTCTTTAGGGAAAAGCAAAGGTCTTGAGAATTTAATTAATATGTACGAAGGAGCAGAGTCCCGTGTATCTGTGGTGGGTCATGCTTTGTGCTTAGATGCACAATGATTCAGTGCATCAAAGGAGGAGCCGACTTCTATGCCCCTAGCTAGTCCTTCATAAGATATGCTAGTGGTCAGTAATTTCTTCAGTCATTGCTGGTTTCAAGTCTTAAAAGCTCTGTAATCTCTTAAAGCACTTCAGTAAATTGGAGGTGAAATGTGCAATAAGGTAGGAGCTGTCATAGTTCAAACATTAGGTCCCTACCTCCGTTTACTGAATCCTAGAAAAACTTCAGCTGGCTTTTATGCCATATTTTGTACAGCTCTTGCTAAATGATAACTCTTCCGTTTTGCAACTTAAAATCAAAGGGCAAATAACTCCTATCCCCATTTCAGTATTGTCAAACAAAGGTCCAATTGGTTTCTTGCTAATTTCCTGTTATGCAGGAACATATTGTTTTCCCTCATGTATGAAGGGTTTATCTACATATTTCTCATATTCAGTGAATGTTCCAGAGAACAAATTAATCAAGTTACTATGACCTGATGTTCATTGACAATACTGAGAAAATATTTTTAAATTATGGACTGTTTTACTGGAAAGCCTTTCTCTTTATAAGCAGAAATCTACATCGTGACTAACTGGAAACAAATAATTTAAATAGAAAATTACACAACACGTACTTGAGCATAAATAAGAATTATACACCAGTGTTTGCTTTTAACCATGATTAGGGCATTGATGATATTACTGGAGAGCCGCTTGTTCAGCGTGATGATGATAAGCCAGAGACGGTTACCAAGAGGCTGCAGGCTTACGATGCACAAACAAAACCTGTTCTGGAATATTATCAGTAAGTAGCAAAATCTGTTCTTCCACATGCTAAAAGCTTCTTCCACATTAGCATAGCGAGGAACAGATCTCTTCAGTTACAGAGATATTGCAGCAGTGAAGATGGTATGAGTAGCAGTGTATCTTGCATCAATTCAGGAAGAAATCAACTCAGTAAAATGTTTTCCGCTGTTGCATTAAACCTCTTCAGGAGTCTGCTTAGCAAAAGAGCCTTTCATTGCAGCCACATTTAGCTTTACAAAGAGCACTATTCAGTACATTACAGTAATGTTCTGAGCAACATAACTCTGGTAGGTAAGGTAACAGAGACAGTTGCTTTTTTTGGAACATTTAACAGCATTTTCTCTTCCGGATGTGTAAGTGGAAGCCCTTCTAACAAGGGTAAGCAATCAAGAAGTAATACACAAATAGAAACACTGTTAATGAGGATTTAAGTGTGGCTGTTCCAAGAACACGACTGTGATGGGCACAGCTAGCAAGAGTCTTTGGGAATAAGTAGCTGTTTGACAATACTGCCATTTGCATCTTGGAATGGTAACAAATTATTCTTTTAAGAGAAAAATTTATATACAAAGTTTCTTTTAGTGTAAAGCTGCAAATATCACATTGTTATATTCAGATAATAGTAGGTCACCATGTAGAGCTTTGTAGTCTTGTCCTTGCGTAGGCAAAGAAATCAGGCTTCCTGACAACATCCTGAAGTGACTGTCCTTCCTGTCTCCATATCCACCACCCTTCATTATGTTCTATCAAAACTATTGAGCAGAAGACTAGAAGCTCCATCTTTGGGGTGGCTAAGTTTTAAATAAGTTTTTCTGGATTAATGGTGATTTTCCTGACTTCAGTAGCTTTCTGAAGTGAAAATGTCTCAAAGCACCACAGTTAATTCATGTGCCTAAACTATTATTACTGATAATAACATACTTTATAGATAAAACCTGCTACTAGAACTAATTCAGAATAAACTTGATTGTGCCTGGTTCAGTTGCTTGTTCTGATGCCTTCTTTGATCCTTAAGGTGTGACTGTACAATATCATAGTTGTTTGGATAACTGTTGTATAGCTGCTATTTAGCATATGACTGCATTGCTGCTGCTTATTTTTACCCTTCATAGTTTGTTATAAAGCACTCTGTGGACAGCTGTCAGTTTTATGAACGGATGTGGCCAATAGGTCACTGTTTAAGGAACAGAGTAATGCATGTGCAGCCCGCATTCCCAATGTTATGGCTGTTCTTGGTGTTAAATCACATGCATATTTGCACACTCCTGCCAGGGCAGTCATAAAGTAAGGTGGAAATCCTGGAACAATAAAGCAATTTGACTTCTGTAATGCTTTCTTTTTCTTCCTTAGGGAAAAAGGGTTATTAAAATCCTTTTCTGGAACAGAAACCAATAAGATTTGGCCACATATCTATGCTTTCCTTCGAACCAAGTTGCCAGATGTGAGCCAGAAAGATGCTGCCAGTCCCAGGTGAAAACAGGTCTAACTTCTGCTCATCTATCATAGCTCACACTTGATTACATGAGATTCAGCAATCAAGGATTTCTCTAAGCAGTCTACCAGAACAATCAATAATTAAAAGTCTATGCTGTCCTTAACTTACATTATGATGAAAATTTGTTGCCTGTGGGGATACATTAAAGACACTTTAATGCTGTATTTTTTAATATTAAATATACCCAACTTTTATAGTATAGTAACTGACTTTAACAAAAGCAGCTACTCTTGTGTCTCTTACTCAAAAAATATGTTTGCAAATACTGACTGGTGAAGGTAACACATTTCAGAATACAGCTTAATTACAAAGCACATTGGTTGATTTACTTACTCATGAAATGTAGTGCGAAGCAATGATAAGGACATGAAAGCACACTTCCTGAATGTGTGATTAGTTGGTGCCAGCCAGAAGCTGTGTGGAACCATGACCACCATTCTGCAAAAAGCCATTTCAGACCAGAACTGGCATACATATAGGTTGATCTCATGGAAAAGAGTCCCCTTCTTTTAGCTTTGCTTGCACAGATGTTAGTTGATTTTGCTGGGCTTACATCAACCTTAACACTTGCTTGGATGATCTGCCTTATTACTATGTGTGTATTTCTGCCCTCAGAGCAACCATCTTGCAGGCATGAGACCTGGAGTTTCAGTGATGTGTAACACATTTGGTAAAGTCTCTGCAGTTGTGTATGATGTCAATAGTAAAAAGACAGGAGACACTGAACACATTAAGTATAATCTGATAAGCTTGTACCCAGATGATCTTGACTAGTGAATGTGTCTTTTCTGCTATCTTTGAAAAAACAACTCATTGATGCCAGTGCCAGGATTTCCAGTGGACAAATTATTAACTTTGTCATATTACTGTAGCAAGTTTTATGTTAGCACTTGGACTGGTTTACGTGAGTTCATACTACTAATTCATGTTTCTGACCAGCTCTTGTATTTACTTATTCACTAGGTAACTGGAGTTACAAACCTCCATAGGCCGCACTTTTTAACAATCCAGGTAATGCAGACATTGCTATTTTTCAGTGAACTCTCCTAGTCTATTTGTTATGCTCACCAGATTGAGAGTTTCAAGAAGAGTCAGCAAAACTTGAGGATCAAACACCTCTGTCTAGACAATGTCTGAAGTAGCTGTGTCCTACTAATGCAGGTCTCAATCTCCTTTTGTAGTGACTGTTTGTAAACAACTACAGAGCTGTGGTGCTGACATACCTTGAACTACGTTTGTACTTCTAGTTTTAGCATTATCAATATTGAGACACATTTGAGTCTAAAAAAAGATGGTCATTGTAGAATTTGTAAAGCTTTCCCATGACTATGAATTATCAATATGGACAGCAGCTATCACTGCAAGCAGCTTTCCTTAAATTTTAAAGAAAGCTTGCCAAAAAGCTGACCACTTATACTTTCATCTAAAAATGTGCATATGGAGGCTGTAGACTGTGTTTAGATATGCACTTCCTTAAAAAAGTCATAGTTAGAAAACATTAGCTATTACATTAAAATAAGAAAACCCTGATGTGCTGCTTACTTCTATTCATGTATTTTGATTAAAATAAAAAGCAGCTATGCTTGGGTTTTTTTTGTAAGTCTACATAAGCTTCAGTTATCTGGAAGGGGGAAGGAATCTCCTTATGATTTGACACTTATTAACACCCCATGCAATTTTAGCCCCTTAGAAACCTGCTTTTGCCTGAATTAGCAACTGCAGGTAGACTCCGTTCATCAAACTGTTGAAATCAATACCTTCCAGATCTTACATACACTCAGAACAATAAAGGACTGAGAGCGTATACCAGTACTATTATTTGAGACAAAAGCTGTCTTCACTGGAGTATTCCAACTGCATTTTTATAGATTGAACTGCTGTAATAGCAGAAAAGCACAGTAGAACTTTCGATTGCAGACGTTCAGTGCAAGGCCTTCTCTAGAAGTAGTACTTAGATTTCCAGCTCCTCAAACAGGAAGCTTTTAATGATTTTCCACTTTAACTGTTTGAACTGGCAATATCAGAAACCCACTTTAGTTCAGTAATGTATGAAATATCTTTCAAACATCACAAGATACTTCACCCTATATGAACTGCAAGAGAGCTTTTTTTTTAAACTGAATTCTTAGCCTAACCCTTGTATCGCAAGTTCCCTCCATCAGATACTTTTCCCCGTAATAAGAGTTGGTTTAAAAAAACTCTGAAGTTAGCTTTATGAACAAGAAGAGAGTCAGACTCTCAGGAATCATATAAACCAGCGTTCATACATAGATAACCATTGCTTACACTTAAGGACAAATCCAAGTTATACTTAATGAAAGCACAATGTAACATGTAAATTCCCTTAGTAGAGGTAGAAAGTCAGTGTTTTAATCTAATCCATTCAGGTGTGACATACTGATACCAGATACTGATTTATTGCTATTAGTGATAACCAAATTTGAGAACTTATGATGTCAGCAAGGTAGCATAAGTACAGTTGTGATGTCCAATATTCATAGAGTAAAACATGTCCACATCTGTAGTAAGACAATAGCAGATTCTACCAAGAATCTACCACTTCTTGTAAACATTGTATTTGTGCAATTTTTTTTTTCATACTTTAATTTCTAAAGTCATGAAAGGCAAGGTTAGTAGCAGAAAACACATCCAGTTTCACATTCGGCAATATAAGAACCCTGCTCTTCAAGGACAACCAAAAAACCTAGCAGCACATTTTCAAAATAATATTACAAGTTTTTCTGAATTACCCACCCTTCAAAATCCCTTCCCTCTTCAAACCAAACAACAACAAAAAATATCTGACACCAAAAATAAAGTGCAGTACCCAAAAAAATAAGTGTCAGGAAAATAGCCGTGTTCATTCCTTTGAAAATAAAAAAGAAAAAAAAAGTACTTGGCCTCAGTCTTAAGAGTACTATACTGTGTCCATCATTTTGGATTCTTCTTCATCTCTTTGTGTCACAGAGTTTAAACTGCAGACATCTGAGTTTATGGAACCTTGCAGATCTCCTGTGTTCTGCAACAGATGAAAAATTGACAGCTTAATTCTCCATAACTGTGTATATGGAAGAAAAGAAAAGAGAGAGAAACAAACAAAGAGGTTTTAGCTTAAGTTGGACTCTTTGTGTAGTCCATCTTAAGATGAGACAAATTTGCAATAGTACGAAAATAAGCTCTAAAAAATTAATCAATCAATGTTATCTCATTGTGTAAAGAATTCTTTAAATTTGCTGGCATAGCTTGTATTTGTTCTCAGTATTTATAGCACTTGACTGCACATTTACTTAAATTTCAGCTGTTGGATCTTACTTCAGAGATATTTTAAGCAAATTATTTCAAATAAGTAGTTCCAATTGTGACCCTAATACCTAATTTTTTACAATCTTTTAAGTTGCTTCTTTATTCCAGAATGTGGCCATCACTAGTACTGTAACAAAAGACCTAACTACCCTCAGTTTCCTTTTATTACAACAGGAGATTTTCCTTAGGCCTGACTTACCTGAATGATCCCATGAATAGCATTAGTCATTTTACACTGAAAGCTCATTTCACTGTCTGTGGTGAAGACTGTGAATAAGATTCTAGCATCTGATCAATTTGACGATGCAGTTTTATTTTAAGCATGAAAATGTAAGGGCACTCAACTAACATGTGCTTTTCACTTTATGCAGATACTTTCTGAATTCCAGCACGTAAAAGGAAAGCTTATATATGCCTTGTGTATTGATAATACTGCATGTTATATCCTGAGCACTAGCAGTCCTAGGGATAGTACTCTTTACATTTCAGAAAGGTACAGCTTCTTGAGGCAGGACCTAATCCTACCTTAGTTAAATTAATTTCTAGATATAATAAACCTACCAGTGAAAAAGATGTCAGCTCTCCTACAAGAGCAGGATTGACACTGAGATCAGGTAGTAACATAGTTTGAAAACCATGTGATTGTGACCAGATTCTCACTCTCATCTTGAATGCCTCAAGTTCATTTTTAAAAGCCTCAAAGTAGCCTTCTCCTGTCTGTAAAGAGAAAAATGAAATATTTGCACTTCAGCCAGATTCACTTTTGAGCTGTAAGAATACACAGTGCTGAAAAAAAACCCACACAGTAATGTGTGTTATGCCCTCTGGGGAATAACAACTATGAACAACTCAAGCAAAATGTTAGTCAATTTAAAATAAAATTTCAGGTAGATTTCTTTTTAAGACAATCTGTACTATTTATATGTAGGAGTAAAGTAATTGATTTATCTAAGGACATGTAAAAATAAATCTAATTTTAGCCTTTACTTTATTCCAACCCAGAAGTCAATATCCTTAGAAGAACTGTTGCAGCACTCTGATCAAAAGTAAAGCACAAGTTGACTTGCACTTTAACTGAACTCCTTTAGGCAATACAATACTGAGATCCATCAGTACTGAGTAACAGAATAGAGTCTACAGCAAACCATAGTTTCAGTCTTCCCACATTTCTGCTGCACAGCTCTACATGGTTCTATTTCAGTAATGAGAAAGGGACACTGTTTTCAGCCCTACTGTGAACTGCAGATGAAATAGAAAGTTGTGACAATAGATAAGTACACCATGAAAACACAAGTGTAATTAGCCAGAATCAGTCCTTACAGTGGTCTATATTTGCTGTTATTACTTAGTTGTTGCTTGTCTATAACACCCCTGTTGTCTCTGTGCTGTATCTTGCTCTCCCACCACTAAACTTTCCTTTTCAAGGTTGGAATTAACACCAAAAAATTCTGTCTTGAAAATAATGGCTAACAAACTACTTTCCCGTAAGCGGAAGTCAGTCAATAAAATACTTAAGTCTCTTATGGTTAGGAAGAAACCTTCGCTAAAACACTACCTTGTACAGCATCAGGAGTTTCTCCCATCATTACCCCAGTTGACTTACTTTGGCTTTTTGGAAAAAGAGACGAAAACAGCCTCTTGGATCCACATTGCAGCCTCTGGCAATTTCTATAATAAACTGCATTACAACTGCTTGGTGTGCTACTTGCTCCATCAGAGCTCTTTTCTAAAAATGAAATAAAATAAAACGAAACAAAACAAAACAAAATAAAATAAAAAGTTATGTTTTAAAGATATTTGCTATGACTGTATTTCTAAAAGCTTTCTAGATACTTTCATCAATAGAGAGTTGGTAGGAAGAACGGTTAAACAGCTAATCAAGTTGGTCAGCTTTTCTATAGTGCAAGTGGGAAACTGTATGCTTTCAGACAATTTAAACATCTTCGTACCTGTTCAGCTTCTAGGTGAAAACACCACAACATGAGATACCTGGATGTTTCTTCACATACAAGATATGGGTGATCAGACAAAAATCTTTGACTGTCATCCCATCTGCTCAGCATACCTAGTAAGAGAAACATAGTTAAGGCATTCTAAATGGATAAATGTATTAATGCAGCAAAGAAGTTACTTGCATTGATACCCCAGTGTATAAAGCCTTTGCAGTTCACTAAACTCAGAATGCCAGTGTGCAGCTAAATTTGGGATTTTACTTATACATTTTAACCAATGCTGAAAGAGTATTACCAGAAGGTATAATCAGACTTTCAAGACACTAAAAGTAGATTTTAACAGTCACAATTTCATGTATTTTAATGCATCTCTAGCATTGTTGATAAGTTAATCAGTTCTCATACACAGTAAGTGGTGTAGGTATCTATTAGTTACATCAAATAGTTTAAAAAGTTTACAGATAGAGATTTATATTCAGTGATTCTGACAAACACAGATCCTCTAAACATTTGCAAATAAGAATGTGAAGAAAAGAATGTATAACCTATCAAAAATGAAAGTGTTTCTAACACATGATTTGCTAGGTTTTCAGGAAATATGAATTTAATTACAGAAATGGCTTGATCTCAAAAAGCAAAGTCACATCAGTATTGGAAATTCAATTAGAGGACTGAATTGTTTCCTTTACCTTCATGTAAAGAGCTGAGTTTAAAAATCAGAACTCCATATTTAGACCACTTCTTAAAATTGTCCTTTGTGTATCACTTGACAGTAACAGTAAAGTCATTACTGGCAAGAGGTACCAGATGTACTGCTTTCCCTGTCTATCAGCCTATAATTATAACTGGGCTAACGATAATTCAGTGGTAATGACCTAAGCTAATCTTAATTCTAGCAAATGCCTAAAGAGAAAGCAATGACTAGTATTTCTTTTGGCTGTTCTCAACAGTTACCATGCAGAAGTTCTTTATTGCTTGGCAGCCAGAGCATGATCCAGAAACAGGACTCATGTAATATGGCTAGCAAAGCCCATACTGCCCCTTAACAGCAACTAGCATAGAACAAGAGACTTGAAAGAGCATTAATGTACTGTCCCTTTTTACAGCAGACATATTTTGAATTAAAATAGCAATGTGGCTTTGAATTTACGAGGTAAGAAAAAAATTATTATCTTTTTTAAAAAGGTGGTTTCTGTAATAGATTAACCTGAATTTAGACAACAAAGTAATTTTGCCCAACTCCTGGCTAGGAATCCTGCAAGAAAGCCTCTATTTTTCTGTTGAAATGTACAGCAGGGGAGACGTCTTCTGATTCCTCTATCATTACATTTAGCAGTTAAGGTATTTGAGAGAATCTGTGCTTATCGCAGCTATTTGAAAACTCTGATGGTGGTGTGCCTCAGCTTGGTAATTGCAAGGCTTGCCAAGGCTACCAAGACAAGAAACCCTAAAGGCCAAAGAGCTTAGTAAAAATGAGTTTGTACAAAGAATTTAATTTTGCCAAATCAGTCCTGTTCTGAAATTCCAAGTATGGCTCTACTATACTATAGTCTGAAACCAGCCTGTAACTAAGAATAAAAGCACTTCAGAGAACCATCAAAATTTCAGATTACTTTACAAGATCAGCTTTGTGCTTAATTAAGTTCAACAATTATGACAGAGCTAAAGTGACACCTAGTAGATAATTAGATATAATTTTAAGAAACACAATTCCATGCACACTTATTCTCAGTTGTTGTTAACAGACATTTCCCTTTCACCAGTCATTACCCTTGTAGCTTAATAGCCACCAGAAAAATATTAAAAGGCGATAGCAATGGACAATCTCATGCACTTGTATACATGACTTATATTTCCATAAATGTCCCTGCCTTTTCCCACTGAACAGCAGAAAAAGTTGCTAGAACTTTAGTTTTCAGGGCTTAAGCTCATTTCAGTTTGGTTTTTTTTTAAATTAAATTCTTATTGGTCACAGGAACTAACAAGTTTCTACAGTTTACACCTTATTTCACTTTGAAATTATCCATCTTGATAAAAACAAAGCTGAATAGTCAGTTCATTTGCTAGCATTCATTCTGTACAATAACATGCTTACACAAGTTCTGTAGAAGTTTAAACTGCAAAATGTTGGAAAAAGCATGCTCACCAAAATGTCTAATCTTTTGTTCGTGTTTTTGCATAAGTGGTTCAGACACATCTTCATCTTCTGTTTCTTTTCTTTTTTGATTAATAAAGCTCTAAAGAGGACAAAAATTGTATTATCACAGAAATTCCCGACATACCTTTTCGTAATATATATGAATATTTTATTTTAATATGTTACTATTTAAATGACTACATTCTAATTTTAGAGTCATGTCATATGCTCGAGAAGGTTTTCTTTAAAAAAATGCATTACCTAATACTAGGATTTAAAAGTCTCAGTCTACTGACCAAAGAACTCTCAGAAACTTCTCTCCTTGGGTAGGAATTTACTCATTTGTCAACAATGAGCATCATGTATATTGCAGCCTGGATGCAGCTAAATCAGTGAAATTAGGAGATGCACTACCTGTTCAAATTAAAATCAAAGCTGAGATTCTACTATTAAAAAAAGTTTGTGCTAAATAATCTGTAGTACAGTTGTCATTATTAGAGGCAAAGTAACAGTTTCAGATTTTAAGAATTTGGCACAGTAGAGAAGCACACTCTTCATGTGAGGGAACTACTGTTCAGCACATTTGGCAACACTTGCACTACACAGAATCACAGTGGTTTGGGTCAGAAGGGACATTTAAAGATCCACCCCTTCCTGCTGTGGGCAGAGCCATCTTCGACTACATCAGGTTGCTCATAGCCCCATCCAACCTGACCTTCACTGCTTCAAGGGATAGAGCAGAGGCAGCTTCTTCTCTGCCCTGCTTCTCTGGGCAGCCTGTTCCAGTGTCCCACCACCCTCATCATAAAAAAAATTTGTCCCTATATCCAGTCTAAACCTATCCTTTTTCAGTTTAAAACTATTACCCCTTGTCCTATCGCTACAGGCTGTGATGAAAAAAACCAAACTCCAACTTTATTATAAACTCCCTTTAAGTATTGAAAGGCCACAATAAGGTCAATAGGGGCTCCCCAGCACCTTCTCTTCTCCAGGCTGAACAATCCCAACTCTCTCATCCCGTCCTCATGGAGAGGTGTTCCACCC